TGGTTTTCTCTGAGCTGGACAAAACAGTAAGAAGTAAATTTAAACATGGCTCCATCCAGTCATCCCATATTAATCATATCCAGGTCACTGGATCCAAAGAAAGAGCTAACCTAAAACACAACTTTAAATTTGCAAATAGTAAACGAAGGCTTGGGGGACTAAGAGATTATTCCTTTGGGGACAGTAAGCGGAGTGAGATGCTAAGAATTGGGGAATGTAAGTAAAAAAGGAACAACAGCCTGAGGAAAATCAAGGAAGAAACCCAAAGGAGTCTGGTGTCTCTGAGTCAGTCTGCACGTGAGTTTTTATTTTAAACGATAAACCAGACACTCTTTTAAGAGATTTGCTAGAGAAACTATTAGCTGCAGAGACCAATCCACTCCCTAAGAAGTCCAAGACTTACCTGCACCAGGACTTCTAGGATCACACCTAGAGGAGCCTCGTGGTTGCCTTCATGGAGCTATAAGACATCTAACCACTGACAAGCTGAAAGATTTATAAACTGTAAATTGTTTTATAAAGACCTGCTTGCTGTAATACAGTAAAAGCATTACAACTTTAAATTCCACTTAGAAGAGCATAAGCTCTCGGGAAAGGGTCTTCAGTCTTCCACACCTTTCTATCAGGCACTGTGGTGTGCATTTCTTAGGTATTTTAAAAATGTTTGTGGACTATCTGGCAATAATATGAGAATGTATGCACACAGAGAGGGGCTACATGATAAAAAGCATACCCAACTTCCTAGAAGGATTTAGAACTGAAATAACCCAAAGTTACTCCTCCCACACCAACGTGACCAAGGATAAGCTGATGGAGAGGGATGCCTCAGAGCTCTAACTTGTCCTCTGATGTGTATGCTTTCTTCTGGGTGCCTTAGAAAACTGGGAGAAGGAGTTTGCAGAGAAAGCACCGAACTGTAGAACAAGGAAATAGCCAACAGCAACTCTTATAAAACTGTTCAACTACTGGCCATTAAGGAACAGCTCCTAAACTTCTCAAGTTGGAACCTGCAAAATGTAAATCAGGCCTTTGTGAGACAGACTAAAATAGTGTCCCCTCGGGGTGCACAAATACCACAGTGAAGTCACCGGCTTGAGCTACTCCCCGACATAGTCAGAGCCCATATCACAAAGATTTTTCCAGAAGAAACAGAAAAATTGCTGTTTGTTTCATGTTAAACATTAATGCATACTCATGGGAGGGCCAACGTGTTGAGTCTGACTTAAACACACCAGACACTTCATACAGATTAAAGAGTTTCCTAGAGGCACCATCCATCCCTGAAGCTTATGAAGGGCCTGGAAACTGGGTTACAATGCTAACTTTGGAAGTTCCATAAACTTTGACAGGGCTGCCTATGTACACAGTTTCTTAACCTAATTGTTTTAAGAATGAGAAAAGGCTACCTTTTTGCAAGATCAAAATCCTGCCTGCCAAGTTTCCCTTCACAATAATTATCACATTAACTAAAGAGGCTGCTTAAGAAAAATCAAATCCTACTTTCAACGGGTCCCTGGTACTAGAACTCACTTATAGCATTATCATCAGACATAAAAGTTACACTTTTAAAACATCAACTAAGTAATCTATACCGATTACTCAGGAAAGAAGATCTGAAAGCAGAATAGAACTGTTTGGGAATGGGTGCCTGATTGAGACTTCTCTCCACAACAGGCAGAAAATACAGCTGTGGTTCCCAAAGCAACTTTAACTCTTCATATCCAAAGATGCACTGTGCCCTGAACCCTGCCATGTCACTGCGTATGGAAGTTAAGTAATGGCCGCTGTCAGAATCCATGCTGGTTCTCCTCCATTTTTTACATCACGTGATGGTATTGGCTATAAGGATCTAATTTGTACCTGTCAAAAGTTAAAATACAATTCGGCCTCCCCCATAAAAACGATCATACAATCTAGAATCTGAACATTTCTGAAGGGTTACATAAAAACCCGTCATCAGTGGTCTCCCAGCTGTGGAGCTTAACAACCAAAGACAAACTGCCATGTGGCTATATGTATTATTTGAGTGTATCTCGTCATGTCTCGTTTTCATAATAAAAAAGTGACTCACGATCATCGCCAAAACATGTATACTGCTTGTAACTACTTAAATGTACTCGGACTCCACAATTTTCTTCTCTAAGTGTGGAGGCAGTGTCTCTCTCTCTACAGCTCTGGCCGGTTTAGAACTTGCTATGTACACCAGGTTGGCCTTGAACTCACAAACATCCGCCTATGCCAGCCTCCCAGAGTGCTCCAGCACACCTAACCCTAGACTCGATTTAAGTTTCGCGGTGATTAAAGCTCAACATCAAAAGGAAGGCTGGAAAAGCGGTGGCTGGGCCTCTTCTTTCCCACTGCTCACTTGAGTTTCACATGCTGGGAAGGGGCAAGGCACAATATGCATCACTTGTTTAAGGGTATGTGAAATCTGAACTGGATGGGAGATTTAATGGATGCACAAAACAGTCATGGTACTTGACTCCATGGGAAATAATTAGTTAGCTACAGCCCACAGAGTAACTGGAGTCAAGGAGCGAATACGCTGAATATCAAAACACTCTGATAGGTCAATCCTTGCCTGCTTGCCCTAAATTGTTGAGCGCAGCATTCATGCATGCATATATACCCGGTCATTTAAAAAAAAAAAAAAAAAAAGAAAGAGGTTGGACAGAAACCAGAAACATCAACCCAATGACACATAAAGCTCTCCCCTCCCAACCTACTCCTCCGCACACATTTCCTCCAGGACATCATGTCCAACCCAAGAAAAAGTACGGTAAGTCCAGTCAAGATTTCATACGCTCTCCAACTAAAACATGTAAAGCACATGTGTTTACAATAACTATACTGCTATGAAAATATTGTAAATCTTTTTAAACCCACTGGGCGTGGTTGCTCACACCTGTAATCCCAGCACTCGGGAGTCAGAGGCAAACAGATCTCTGTGAGTTCCGAGGATAGCCTGGTCTATAGAGTTCCAGTCCAGCCAGAATGAGACCCTGTTTTATGAATGTCATTTAGCAACCAAGGAACTTTTTCAGCAAAATCAAGTGCAAGCATATAGAAAATGTCATGTTGCAGTCCTAATGAGATGAAAGAACTCTTTGACCTTCTTAGTAACAGGGCCCAAAGTAAACATATCTGGCTCCCAACAGTAGGAACCTAACTTGACTGCTACTCTTACCCTAGCACACGGTCTCTGCAGCAGAGAATTTACCAGGTGGTAGCCCACCCCTCTGTAATCACCTGAAATAAACCTCAGGTCCTTCTGCCCAGAGGAGGAGGAAAGCCAAGATTGACAGCCTATTGTTCAGAACTTTTCAGCTGCATCTCAGGCACTGGGAGGCATCAAGGCCTTTTCTTTGTTTTTTTGTTTTGTTTAATCTGAAAATGGATTAAGCAAGACTTCAAGGGGATTCAGAATTGAACACACACAAAAAATCAAGTAATAAGTTAAAAATAACTGGACATAGATTGCAAAAACTCATTCTGGGCAACTTAAAAACTTCCAAGAGCCTTAAAAGAGTAGTCCCACGAGACCTTGTACCTGTACCACGACACTGCGGCTACACTTTTATATAATTCCAATGGCTTTAAAAAAACGAACTCATTCGTTTATTCAGTTACTGAAAAGCAGAGGCCTCACAGTTTCATTTTATGAACTTGCTTTCAAAATGTTCCATCTGCTTGGTGACTCATGCACAAATAAAAAGGTGTTTACTACAAAGGGCACTAAATACTGCTTTTCTGAAATATATTCCACACACAGTAATTCACACTTTTCAAGGCACTTTCTCTAATAAGTCGTAGTCCTTCTTTGAAATCCTGAAACAATGTTTGGGGTGCTAGAGAGCAATGGGAAGAAAACTATGAAACCATGATCAAAGAATCACTTGCCTACAAAGCGTCCCTTTCAAATATCGCAGATGTTATTAGCTCTATAGAACTTCCAGGCTTTGGACGGGTTTGGGGCAACCTGTTCTCTTTGGAAGTTAGTTCTTTAGTACCAGCTACTGGTAAAAATCAAGCGCTCCACATGCAATGCAATGGAAGCGCTACACATCCATAATCAGTTTCTCACACTTACACTGCACGACTGAACACAACCAGGAAATATTCTGTTTGCTTGTATGTCTCAAAAACTGAGGAAAAACTTTCCTAGAACAAGCAGGAACTCTGACCCATTCAGATAATCACAGTCTTTCCCACCCATGGTTCTGTCATGAAGTTTACTACTATCCACCCCTTCCTGAATTCTAAAACGATGCATGTTTCCACACTTGCTTGGATCAAAGCGAAAGGGGAGACAGGGAGGAGAGCCTGGGAGCCTTTTTACACCGGAACGAAACTGCCCGGCAATTACAGTGAGTGTCTTCATTACCTTTTTGTTTTCTCTCTACCAGGAGCAGCAGTGAAACAGCTCTTAATTAAGGCTGAACAGCCCTAAAGAAGAGTAACTTTAAAAGTGAACTTCTACTTTAGGCAATACCGGCAGTAAAGGCATTTGCTCCCCTCAAATTCCCTAATCAGAGCTAAGAGCAATCGCTCTCAACCCCGGAGAGAGACAACTAAACATTTTAAAGACAAGTGTTTAAAGCAGACCTTCAAGACTAACTAACGCAAGCAAGCGTTGCGATAGTCCTGCCAGGATGGGTGTTTCATTAGCGCTTCAGCGGGGGAAAGGGAGTGGGGGTGTTGGTCCAAAATCCTGACTGCTGAAATAGAAAATAATCAACGGAGAAAGAATCCGGTTGGGTTTGATGGAGTAAGAAAACAGAGATGCTAGAGTGGGACATGGTGGCCCTCACCGGATGTTCAAAGCGAGATGAATTTTAGAAGTTGGAGAAAGGAATTTCTGTGTGTGGCCCACGCTGGAGAGCAGACCGTCAGCACGCGGCTGGACAGGCCCCTCGGGCCGGACCAGCGGCTCCACGGAGGCAGCCCCGGAGCCGGGCCGTGAGCGAGCAGTAGTGGGGAACAGGGCTGTCACCGCTTACCCAGGTGCAGCGTGAGGTTGATGGAGTTGGGGTACTGCACCCCGGCCAGCATGGTCTGGCTTTGCCACCAGGTGGTGTCGGCCTGGTTGTTGTAGTCGGTCAGGAAGGCTGCCCCGTGCTGCAGGTGGAGCTGGCCGGCGTCGCACAGGTGACAGGACTTGGTGACTCCGGTCACCCCAGTCTGCACGCAGTACTCCTCGGGCGGAGTCCCACACGTGTTGGTAGCCACCACGGTCACGTTGAAGGCGGCATTCACAAACTCCGGCATGCAGCGCTGCGGCCGGCCGCCCTCATCCGCGCACTCGTCCATGGCCGCCCGGACACAGCCCGCCGCAGCCGCCAGCACAGCCAGCAGCGGCCACAGCCGCCCCCGGGGCCGCAGGGCCAGCTCGGCCCGCCCGCCGCCCGTCATCCCACCACGCTCGGGCCCTCGGCGAAAAGGCTGGGGGTGGCCGCGCTGCTCTCTCTTCCTCCGCTGCGGGTCGAGGCCGGGCTGTGGACCGGACTGGCGGCCGAGAACCGGGCGCGGAGCCGATGGGTGGGCGTCCGAGGCGAAGACCGCGCGCTGCCTCCGCTGCCTCCCGGTGTGCAGCTCGCACTGTGCGCCGACCCCCGACTTCCGAGCGCGCACCCGAGAGCGCGCCCCGGGAGGAAGGAGCAGGGGGTGGGGTCTGCCGGGTGGGGTGGGATCTGGCGGAGGAGAAAACCCAAGACCGGCCTCCTCCTCAGCAGCTCACGCGGGCCGGGAGCGGCTCCCCGCCCTACGCGTCCTCCCCAGCGACTCCCGGCGGCGGCAGGGGCAACCACTGGTGCTCCGGCCCTGGAGGGCGGTGGGCCCGAAAAGGGAGGTGGGCGGGGCGGGAGCGAGCGGGAGGGGCGTGGGTGGGCGGGGCGAGGGAGCAAGAGGGAGGGGCGCGGGGGTGGGCGGGGCGGGGGAATCAAGAGGGAGGGGCGCGAGGTGGGCGGGACCGGGAGCAAAAGGGAGGGGGCACGAGATGGAAGATGAGCGGGGGCAAGAAGGAGGGCTTCTGGGTGGGCGTGACCTAGAGGTGGGCTGGGCGAGGGTATAAGAGGGAGCGGCCCAAGGTGGGCGGGGAGGGAGTGTGAGCGAGGGAAAGAGGGCGGGGCGTAGGGTGTAGGGCGCGGGGCGTTGCATGCTGGGAGGGCAGGGGCCTCGGTGGAGATCCCACACCCTGCAGGAATCCTTCCCCTAGTTCTTCCTCCTAAGAGGATCTTGCCCTGGAGGGTCTCTGGGACTAGGAGGGAATTCTAAAGGGCGACGCGGGTCGGTGAGGTGGCTCGGAATCTGCCTTTTGACTTTACGATGACTTGGACCGTGGCCCAACCAGGTGTCATGTCAGTCTTTACGGTATAGCCCAGCCACTACCCGGCGCTGGCGCCTGAACGACCCCGCAATGGTGCGGCGGCCTGCGTGACCTTGGTCTCGCCAGACGTCCTAGAGATGCCTCCTGTAGCGCAGGACAAGCGCTTAATCCCCCTGAGAAGAGAGATCCTGGGGTTCCCAAGGGGCTGGGTCCGACCTCAACTTCAGAGTCAATTTTGTGATTTCCTTGCTCTAAATTAAAGTGTAACTGTCATTTGCCCAGGCAAGGAAGGAAGTGAAAAGGCTGGGAATGGAATGACATTTTCCCCCTGGATATGCAGACTCGCCTGGAAATTCTTCCACTGTGTTGTTTGTGGTTCCCAGCTTGCCTTTAAAAGACTCGAAATTATCTGGATTCTGACATCTTCCTTTTCGGACCTGCTGAGTCACGGAATAGTCTCAGTGCCAGAATGACTCAGTTTGCAGGGCCCGAGCCAAAAGATCATGAGTTTTAGTCCCAGATCAGAACTACCTACAGGGCTGATAGAACAAGCAGACAGGGGAAGAGAGGTTGTTGTAAAAATGAGCCAGCTGAAAGCCGGGCGTGGCAGCACACTACTGTAATCCCAACCCAAGATGCAAAGCAGACCCACAAAGTGAACGCCCCAGAAGCATTTTTAAAAACTTTTTGGACCTTAATGACACAGTGATAACAATAAATACGATTTGGGCTTCAGTAATCTTTTAAAGATAGGGATCTTGATATCTACAAGATGGCCCAGAGGGTAAGGCACCAGTCACCAAGCCTGATGACCTGATTTCAATTCCCAGGAACCTCATACCTACTCCCAAACCCACACTGTGGCACTTGTGTGCCTACATATATAGACACACACAAAACTAAATAAATAAATGTAATTTTTTTAAAGATGGAGTAGTGGACATATGAAACAATGAGAGTTAGGGTTAATGTTAGGGTCACGAGTCCTAATTAAGAGGGCCTTAAGGGTAATGGACTACATGTGATGGGTAGGAGTTACTGTCCAGGGAACATGTAATACTGAACCTACATGGGGATGCATCCACCTTTCTTATTTGATGGGATGATGGAGATTATGTGCGCTAAGGTCTCTAACTCTTTACCCCTGTAACTCTTTGCAGAAAGAAAATTGGGAGCTATAATAACATTTTAGATGGTTGAAGCAAAATCAGTCTATCCACCTATCCCTCGAGGGGACATCTCAGTTCATTAAACATGTCAAATAAAATTGATGTGTGTCCTTTTCATTGCTCTCTTTTGGCTTCTGATGTCCAAAGTTAACTTCAAGCTGTTATTTATGCTAATTTACTCTGTAATTTCATCACAAGAACCTTATCTGTTATTTGTAAAGCATGTGAAGGAACCTTGAATTAACCTCTGAACTCTATTGCCCCCTGGAATATATTAAAGTAACAAAGTATTGGGTTTGTTTTTTTGTTTGTTTGTTTTTTAATAAATAAATTGTATCCAGCCAATGTGCTTGATGATAAAACTTTGTTTCATTGTGTGGATTTGGGGGATGAGGACAGGGGATGAGACAGGGTCTCACTCAGTCCAGGCTGGCCTGGCTCCCACATCAGTCCTCCTGCCTCAGCCTCCCCAGTGCTGAGATCGCAGATATGAGCACCCATGCCCGTCATCATTTTGTGAGTATTGGTTCAAATAAACCAAAGACTTTGTAAGACAATTTTGAAGACAGTTTGGGAAATCTGAACACTGGATGTTGGAGGAGTATTACAGAGCATTTGAAGTACCTGGAGGCACCACAGTTATCAATAGACTTGCTATTAACAGAAAGAAAATAAACTCGATGGCACCTCACTGGAGTGTTTTCCTAACATCCACTATAGGCTAAGGCAAGAGGGTCTTCGGTTCCAGGCCAGTGAGACCCTCCTGCCCTTCCCCTTCCCCCTCCCCCCACCCCCCACTCCTGCACTCAAAAAAGTATATAAGACTTACTGTAAGTTGTACAATTTTGTTCTTTCTTTCCTCCTCCTCCTTCTTCTGGTTTGTTTTGGGGTTTGGTCAAAAGATTCCAGAGCCTTATCCTTTTAAACACACATTCTTAACTCCTTTGAAATTCCATTATATACTAAACAGACATGCTATTTATGAGGGAAAACATGAAGGAAAGTTGAGTTCAGGTTTGTGAAAATTCAGATTCTCTTAATGCCTGGTCACCAGTGGCTCTATGCAGCCAGGCAGGTGGGATCGAGGCATGTGGCTATACAAGCTAGCTCCCCTCCAGAGAGCCTTGATCTCCCAGTTAAACCTCCAAAGCTTAAGAGACATGTCCTCTCAGGATATATCTGACTAACTTCAAGGGACAGTGCTCCCTGTTTTGGCTCCCTGTGAATCTGTAGGCATGCCCACCCTAACCGAACTGAACAACAGCACCTGGTCATCAGCCCACTGAGGCAAAGCCACTCAGGGGAAAGGTTGCTGTGGCCAGAAGTAGGTTACAAGGTAAGAAAGAAATCGACAGATGTGCACTACCTCAGGGTCTAGAGAGCATGTTATGTAATTAGGAAGAAATTTAAAGTGTGTCCTGGCCTTTCAAGATTGTACCTCTATAAGCTTTTAACCCTTTATAATTTCAGATGCGTTTATTTTTCCATTTTTTGGTCTTTCTGACTTCATCACCAAGGCTACTGTCCTCACAAAGACAGTAGTAAGGACATTGCACTATCTGCCTTGTCCTTTACGTTTAGAAATGCTACTCATAAACAACAGCTATTATTAATAATATGACGATGTTAGCCTGTATTTGTATACTGTTTTCATTTTTCTAATTCTCTCTGAAGCACCGGATGCTATGGCCTCTGTAGCGTTGAAGAAACTAAAGCCGCAAGATTAAGTAGCCTCTGATCCTGAGTAGGAAGCAAAGCAGGACAAAGGCCACCCTTCTGGCACTCTGTGCACAGAGGATTTCTTCTTCTGTTGTGTAAAAGGTCACAAGAGGAACGAGGGTAAAGAAGCGCTCTTTTACACAGCCCAGGTTTTTCACGTTATCAAATAGGAGTTTAAACTGGGGAGACGTTGAAGTGATCCTGAAAAGGAATTAGAATTTCCCTCTTCAAAGTTACAGTACCTACACATGGTATTTGGGGTTCAGCTTAGAGCTCCTGTCTGTGTCCTTGGTACAAATCCTAACCTAACAAGATAAGAGGTCTTGTGTGTCTCGAGTAAAGGACAAGATTCCTCTTGCATAGGTAGACTTTTTCAATCCCATCCAGTCCTATGGACCAAATTCAGGCTATCTTTTTTTTTTTTTTTTTTTTTGGTTTTTCGAGACAGGGTTTCTCTGTGTAGCTTTGTGCCTTTCCTGGGACTCACTTGGTAGCCCAGGCTGGCCTGGAACTCACAGAGATCCGCCTGGCTCTGCCTCCCGAGTGCTGGGATTAAAGGCGTGCGCCACCACCGCCCGGCAATTCAGGCTATCTTAAATTGTGATTCTAGTTTTACAAGGGAGAAAAAAGGACACGTGTCAACGTAAGATTCAAAACAACTTTTTTATAACATAATTCTTTATTGATTCTTTGGGAATTTCACATCTTGCACCCCAATCCCGCTTACCTCCCAGTCCCTCCATGTCCTCCCCTCATCCCAGCAGGATCCCCCAAAGGGAACCCCCCAAAAATCAATTTAAAAAAACACAGAGGCCGGGCGGTGGTGGCGCACGCCTTTAATCCCAGCACTCGGGAGGCAGAGCCAGGCGGATCTCTGTGAGTTCGAGGCCAGCCTGGACTACCAAGTGAGTTCCAGGAAAGGCGCAAAGCTACACAGAGAAACCCTGTCTCGAAAAACCAAAAAAAAAAAAAAAAAAAAAAAAAACCACAATTAAAAAAAAACACCTCGCTCCTCCATCTTTCCAACACCTCTTCATTCATCCTAGTGGCGTTCGGAGCTGCGGTGTGTCATGCAGTATTGGACCCTTTTGTCCAATCAGCCCCTCCCACAAAATGAGTCATTGGTCTGGTTCAAGTCCTCTGGCATGCCATCATCACTGGACCCTCACCAAAACTCCTATCGGACATCCGGCTGTTGCACTGAGTCATGGAGGACCAGTCCCTTCATGAACTCCAACAGGTCATAGATGGGGTAGATGTTAGGGTGGGCCAACCCAGGGCCCAGGATGTGGGTCTGGGTGGTAGCTAAGCCGGGATTGGGACGGCCCCACCTCAGTGGAGGAGCAGAGCCAGCTCTCCTAGGCACATGCCATTAGGGCCAGCTCTCCCACACCCATGGTGAGGGGTGGGACCATCTCACTCCATGGGGGGTGGGGCCAGCTGTCCTGCTGTTGAGAACAGTGAGGGGCAGGGCCAGCTAT